AAGAAACTTTAACTCATAATGAGTTAAATATCAGTGTTACATGCCCACATAGCTCCTCAAACTGGTCAAAAGGACAGATCGAAGTTCAAATAGCAAAATTAACTAGCATGATTAGTGGTAAGTAGTAGAGCTTTAAGGTAACTGTTAGATCCTCCTTCTGAAGAGAGTTGAGCTACTATATTTCATTTTATAAGTCATTAATATTTCTGTTTTTCTTCAATAAGATAAATGTAATATTAATTTATAATGCAAGAGGGAAATGAGTCCTGGTGAAGTTTGATATTGTCAATCATAAATCAATTTTTTAAAATTTAAAATACTATTAAGAATCTTTTGCATTATGATTTGAAAAATCACTGTTCTGTGCCATCATTATTTCTTCTCCTATTTATGAATGAATGTAGGTGGTATCTATAATTCCAACTCTCTGCTTTGGGAGTTATACCTCCAGGCTGACATGCCATCTCAGTATGTCAGAGAACTAGTTCCCAGCTTGCTGCACTCAATTTCTTTCTGACAGCCAAGAAATTTGATTTTATAATGAGGTGTAAATCATAGAAAAGGGTTTTCTATAAAAGACTTCAGTAGAGATGAGAGTAGGAGCATAAGAGTTTATATCAATGGTGCTGTAGGATTAAAGAGAACATCAGAATTAAGGACACACAGAGATGAAGAGAGCTTCAGCCTACACGTGTGTACCCTTTATCTGTATTGCATATACAGTGAAGGTGAAAATTAGCAGTGGTATATTTCACATTTGGATCAATTTTTCCAATGATGGTAGTCGAGTGGGCTGTCTAACTGACAGAGGCATGGCACAATGTATGTAATAATATTTGACATCCTTCTGTGACTTTCTGCAAGGCAAGGAGAAGGTGAGGAGGGAATATTCTCCCTTCCTACTCCTTCACAATTGAACTTAATGATAGGGTGACATCCTTCCAAAGACCCTAGATAAGTAGAACTAAGAAGGAGAAATTAGGACTGTGGTATAGAGTAATCTTCTAGAGACTGAGGTGAAAACTAGCTTATGACCTAACTGATGGAGAAGAGAAAGGTTTTATTTTGGGATTTGATATTGATAGTATGGTGTATAGTCAGATTTTTATTTTATTATATATGCATCTTTTTATATATTTAACATTTTAGAGGGTGTGCATAAAGCAAATGATCAATGTATACCCAGGCAACCAGATGTATAACCAGGTTGCAATTCTGCTTCTCATACCAGCACCATAGTTCCCCAGGTGAACTATTATCAGTTAATACTGGGTCAGCATAACTATTTCCAGTATTGGGGGTCAGTATACATCTATCGTTCTTATTTTTAATTTTCTAGTCAGAAAATAGTAGCATTTTTTAATAAAAATAAATGTGACATGATCTTGGATTATATGAAATTATAGCTATATAATCACAGAAAGCCAAATAAAATATTGGTCCAAAATACACATTCAGGTATCATGTACAAAGTTTAAAACATTTACATGAGAATGATAAACTGTAGTTAAGTTTCTGAATATTTTACTTAAGTAATACCAAACATCCATGTATTTAAGAACTGTCTAGCTAACTGGATATTTCTGTATGCAATGCTGATATTTGGCAATATTTGTCGATGCATTTGTTCATGTACCAATTACATGGAGATATGCAACTCTTTATCATCTGAGATAAATTGGGCTGGCAAAGGGGAAATTATATATTTTCTTTTTTCATTATATGTCTCACATGCTGCCAATTCATCTTTCACCATAGTCAAGGTTTAAGAATGTTGTTCTGTCAGTCAAGGTGCAGGAAGTGCACGTAGGGATTAATCGTGGATACAAAAGCATCTTCTATCTAATATCGAGCTTATATCACAACTTGGATGAATTTCAAGCCCATTGGCTTTCATCTCTATCTATAGATTTATTTGCCTTTTATATAACACTTTGAGACACTCTAATGTTGCTGATGAGGCTTATGAAGATGATTCATAAGAAAAACCTATTCGTTTCTCTGTATTTGCTTGTTTGCACATCATTCCTCCTGTTGGATTAGTGAGCAGAAGGAATTGGAAAACCACAGGGGAACGGTTTAAACAGGATAATGCAGACATTAGAGAATGATTAACAGTAATTTCACAAAGGTGGAAGGTAAGCTGCTCATTTTTATGGAATGGAACAAATGTGTTTGGAATGATTAACAAAATAAGACATGAAAAAATAGAAAAACGTAGCCACTCAATTCTATTTGGGCAACAAACCATATGAGATATAAATGCAAATTCTCTCCCAAATTCACATACTTAACATTATTTAATCTTAAACTTCAGCTAGACTGTGGCTAACAATTGGCATGCAGCATGAAAACCATAGTGCTTAAATGTTGGCTTTCCCAGTCAGTTAAAAGACACTTTATGTGACATGTACCTTTTTGGAATCTTTTTATCCTACAAGAGCTAACGTAACTCAGTGCTTAACAATAGAATTTCAAAGAAGCCTAAACCTTCTTCCCAAACTAATAGGTCAGACAATTCACTTAAATCCTGAAAGCTTCTAATTATCCTGTAAAATAAACCCATTCATTCATTCATTGATTCATCCCACATGTATTTAAACTCTATTCTATGCAGAACACTATCTTAGGTGTTGTGAGAAATGCAAAAGAATCTATATAGGGCGTTGTCTTGCAGAAGCCAGGCAAGGACACCTCTATTCAAAGCTAGTTTGTTACTATCCAAAGATCCTTGTTTCACCATCACTTAGGCCAGGTTGAGACTAGCTTTCATTTGCAGAGAGTTGCTATTGCAACTTTTTGAAACAACTTCCAATATCATCCAAGGACCTTTTCCTCTTTGCTTCCTTGACGGTGTTCAGAGGCAGTCGGAGCCTAAAAACTTCTTTGGAAGTGTTGTTTCTAGAGCTCCCTGGCATAGGACCCCACATACTTAGCTTTACTCTATTTTTACCTCACTCTGGCTCATGAATCAGAAGAACTCAAGGAGTGTGTTTTGGAGCTTTGATAATATGAGGAGGTTCATTCCTAAGAAGGGTTAGGATTGTTCTTGAACCTTAAACCACTGCTAATAAAATTGTGGCTCATAGAACAGTAGCAGGGGCATCATCATTTCAGAGCGTCTATGAAAAGCAGGATCTCAAGTCCCACCTCAGACCTAATGAATCAGAATCTGCATTCATACCCATACACTAGTGAAAGAGAAATGAAGTGAAAGGACCCTCTGTTATATTTTTAATTTGAATTCAGATTAAGACACAGTGGTTAGGGTGTGATTAATGAAGTCTTGGGTTCAATACCCAAGAAGGTAGGGATTACATATTTCAGCGATGTTTCCAAAATGCCCCAAATGGTGCTGACATGAAGTAGACACAAAGGATAAATTTATATGTCCTGTATAACACTGAGCATATAGTTTTCTCTGCACATGGTACTATACATAATTGTTGAATACAGATTTGCAGATAGAAATTTGGTATTTCAATCACCATTCTCTAATCCTTAAAAATGCATTATCTTCAACTTGATGAATTCTTATATAGATGAACTTCATTTAGTCATTCTGTAAATTTTATACTATTCCCTTTGCCAGGAAATTTAGAATAAAGAAAAGATATTTTCTTGCCCTCAGGATGTTTAAAGTCTAGTTCACTGACAGTTATAAAAACATTAATAAATGCAATGGTGAAGGGATATACTCACACATACACAGTACAATAGAAATGTATGTGTGTGTAAGGGACGTACACACACATACATAGTACAATAGAAATGTAGATAATTTAGTTTTTCTGAAGTATACCAAGAATGGCTTCACAGAAGCAATGTTTGAAGTGAGAATTAGTGGATGAGTAGTACTTAAAGACAGAAAATTTTGAATATATCCCAGATGAAGGAACCAAGGTGCAAGGGAGCTTAAAAAGTAACATTTCTGGGGTTAGGTTAGGAAGGGAAAGAAAGGGTACATGAGACTGAGCAGGAAGGCAATGCCCTGACCAAGCGAACCCTTGCAGGCTTGTTAAGGAGTCATCTGTGTGTCATTGAGCAGACAATGTGGGAGCCATTGAAGAATTTTGAACAGGACATGACATGGTCAGAGTTATACTTTAGAAAGTATGGGGAGTAAGAAGGAATTACAGCCAGAGTCAGAAAGACCAGCTAGGAAGCTATTGTACTAGTCTATACCAGAATTCATAAGATATCCGACTGCAACAGGGAATGGAGGGGATGGAGAGAATGGAGAGGGAAGAAATAACAAAGATTCCCTCCTTGACCAAACTCTACTCAGGATTTCCTGAACTATTTTCAACTAGGCCTCAACTTTAGGACTTCCATGTTTTTCTCTGCATTGTCTACTTTCAGCAAGAACTGACAAGTCCATTTAGCCATTACTGATAGCTGATTACCCTTAATTTCTAATCAGGCTCCTCATTCTTCACTATTCCCTAGGAGATGTTGACCATCCTGGCTTGCTTCCAGCAAGAATCCTATTAGGTTGGTGTAGTCAGAATTTCCCCTTTGTCCCTGATATTCATTCTTAGTAATTAAATATTTTCCATCCACTGACCCTTATCCTTCTCTTTAGCTATAAATTCACATTTTTCTTTATTGTATTTGGAGTTGAGCCCAATCTCTCTCCTTACTCAAAACCCCACTATAGTGGTCCCTATATCTATCAGAATAATGCCCTCCCCAATAGAGTCTGTTTTACCATTTTTAAACAAGTATTATTGAATAATTTTTTATTTAATAAAAGAGAGAGAAAGTATTCTCAGGAAGTATCGAGGTGTAAGAGTGAAAGGGACTGTAGAGTTCCCTGTGTTCATTCAGCTTGGGCAAAGTGAGAGTGAATTGCTCTTGGTAGAATTATTTTCACTCTCTCATGAATAGTCACTTGTCATGTTCATAGATGAAAAAGAGCCAGTAATGTTCTGAGCATCACAATTATACTTGGTCTAAGAACCTAGAAGGTAATTCTATTGAGAATTTCAGAATCATTTTGAAGAAACTCAGGCTACTCTGTATGAAAGCCTAGACAGAGAAATTATCCTGATAGGTACTGTTAAGACTGGTTTGTACTGTAAGTTATGACTGATTTATTTCCTCTACTAGGAAAGTAGATATAAAGAAGACATTCCTTAGATGTAGATAGGCTGATTATTGCTCATATGATATGATTTAGGGGATAATTTAAAAAGCCTTCCCTGCCTCTATCCTTACTGGTATCCAAGATTCTCATCATTGTAGAAGAGCCATTCATTCGGGGTAAGAAGTTACCTATATCAGGAGAAGATATTGAATATATTCCTGGGCTTTTGAGACACTGTAAAGAGTTAGGAAAGGTAAGTTTGGGTCTCCCCCAGAAATGTACATGTGTATAAAGAGGCCCTTTGCTAAATTTCTCATTTGAGTGTGGTTTAATTAGGCGTCGAATCAGATTATAACTTAATAAGGCCTAACTCAGAGCTTCTCAAATGTTAATGTCCTCAGAAAAATCTGTGGATCTAGTTTAAACATAGATTCTGATCCCATAGGCTTGAGATGAGACCCAAGACTATAATTCTAACAAGTCCTAAGTGATGCTGTGTTGCAAACATTGGTCTAACACAAAAAACACCAAGATGTGAAGAATAAGGGTTCCGAAGGAATCAGACACAGTTTAGGTAATTTGGGGGTTGGTATAAAAGTTTATTTGTCTTCATACTTCCTTTATGTAAAGAATGTCTCTGAATGCCATTCAGCTATATGACAAAGAGAAACTGGTGTCTTTGAGCAATGCTTTATTTCTGTGAACATTACCAGCGGGTTATATAAAGCACACTGGTCATGCACTTTAGAATCCTTCACTTCTCTGAAAGTATGGGTCTAAAGGCACAGATGAACTTGCTATGTTTGCAAACAAAAACGCCCTCATGATGATTTAAAAAAATCTCCAGCCAGATCCACAAATCCACAAACTGTAAGAAATTAAAAATAAAGAAAAACTACCTACAAAAGTAAGAGAAATGACTGGGGATGAGTCAAAGAATTCTCATCTCAAAAATACCTCATTCTGTTCCATTTACTTCCATGTTTTCTTAAATTTGCCTTTATTTTTTCTGAACAATCTAACTAATGCCCACATTTGCCACTTCATATAGACATATTCTGATTGTAATTAGAAGAAAAATGCATCTGGTTGAATACAATCCAAGGTATAAAGCTGAAGTGAAGACATTAGATATAGGTGACAGAACACTTAAGGTAAAATTAAAAAGCTGGCTCTGGGTATATTTATCATTGTCCCTTCTTGCATAAAAAATAGTGGTTTATTTTTAACAAGGGATTAAAATTTTACTAAATGTTGGCAGTTTGGACAGCAGCAATGTAAACAAATGGAAATTTTATCTGGCCTGAATTCGGCTTTAAAAAACTGTTATTCGTTGTTTAAGTACAACAATTACTTTACTGGGTCAATTTATTTAGTTATTTTATATTTTAAATAGATTTAAAATATGTCACCATGTACTGTTACCTGGCTTTGAAAATTAAGCCTATGGTTCTGTTCCTACTATATAGCAACTTCCTCAACTTTTCTACAGGCAGACAGGCAAAATATAAAAAAAGGATTAAAACTGCTTTTTGTATCCTCAACTTTATCAAGGATAACACAGAAATCTCCATCATCCATATTGCCTAGAGAGTTCTAAAGCATTAACAATTTATCTGGTTTTTATGTAATAAAAGCTGGAAAGTATATATTTTTTAATACCAATCACCAAATCCAACTATAATGCAGAAAGTTGTATTGCAAGTTTGATTGGTACAATTCCTGCTGAATGAATAAAATACAACATGCTCCTAGAAAAGCTGGTATCCAATAAACTTGACAATAAAAATCTCATCCAAAGGGGTTAGAAAGGTATTTGGGGAAGTACATTGCTTTGCAAGAAAGGTACCATCTTTGATGTGTAAATGGTTTTTTTTGAATTTGTCAGGATGAACAACATGAGGCATTGGCTTTTGTAAGACAAAAGTTGTTAACATCTGCTTTAGACATATATATAAGATGTTGATTGCAATGTTCCTGGAGTTATTTCACCATTCCTTATCATTTGTCCAGAAGAGCTGCTTTTAAGAACTGAGTTCAAACAGAGGGCTCTCAGTGCTGGCCCTAGCCAAGCTGTCAAGCTGTTTTTCAACAACCTGCAATCCTTCCCAGCTTATTCCTTCTCTTCACCATTTTTCTAGCCCTTAGTATTTAGGTCTTGGCAGGGGAAGTGAGGGGGGATCTATTTATCTTCATTTAATTATTTTTTTTTTATTTATCCAAATGTGTGGGGTACATGTGAAATTGTGTTACACAATTATATCATGTGTAGTGACCAAGTTAGGGTATTTAGGGTGTCAACCTCCCAAGTACAACACATTTTTGATGACATATAGTCAATCTAATTTGCTATCAGGCACTGAATTTATTCCTCCTAAGTAACTGTACGTTTGTACCCTTTAACTCATTCTCTTCATCCTCCCCAACTCAACCTTTCCGAGTCTCTGTTCTCTATCGTTTCTTATGAAAATCCAAAGGTTTGTTACAGGAAAGGAGAAGCTGTTTTGGACAACATTCATATAATAAGCTGGTTAACAGAAAGAATTACCTAAACCAAATTAATAATAGACAAATCTAGTATATTTTCTTCAGGGAACACATTTCATAATAACTGTAATTTATAGCATATGGATTATCAATAAGTTAGTATTGCTAGAAATATTTTAAGAAAGTTAAAAGCCTAGTTAAAACAAGTTTTCAATACAAACACAAAAAAATAAATGTAAAAGATGAAAATAATCATCATTCATAAAATATAGAAACATAATATAAAATATATAACAGAAAAATAAAATTAGGCAAGATAATTCTCTATTTCTATCTCCCCTCCCTCCTTCCACATTCTTTTTGAAATCCATAAAGTGTCAAAAAGATGAAAAAGAACAGCCAAATGAATATAAAAGTCATCAAAAAGAAGATGATAAAATGTCCATTGAGGGAACTGACTAGTGGTAGAAAGGTTTTAGGTGACGACTTTATATACTGTCCTAGATTCTAAGAATGTGGTCTAAGATCCCCTTGCCTTAGAATCATCTGACAGATTATTTGCTATGCAGATGTCCGAGTCTTGAATCAAAGTGTCTGGAAGTTGGGCCTTTATCAGCATTTTAAACAAGCTCCCCTGAAATTCTAAGATACGTCATTGTTTGAAAACTTCTACATGATTCTACTCTATAATCAACTGGCCTTGTGTACTTGATCTCTAGACAGCGTCTAAGGCTAATGGTCTTCTTTTCCTTGCATTGTAGAAGTGTAAAAATGTCATGTTGCTTTACAAAGCACCAGACAATAGTCCACCTGTGCTCAAATTATCTGTCTCTGAAACTGTTCAAAAACTAGGAAAGTATAAATCTTCTCTTGCAGAAGTTTTCTCAGTTTCATGAATTTGATCTCATTGTGGTATTTCTTGAATCTACCAAGCAATTGTAGTAGATGTGAAATATCGAAATAAAGCAACACAAAATATGTTGACAAACCAAGCTAAGTTTATTTACCTAGTAGAGTAAGAGAGAACATTACCTTCTTGAGTCTTAGTAGTATCTCAAGAAGGCAAATGGCAGGCAAAGATATTTATAGGGTTTGGAGTCTGGGCTTTAAGTGTGTCTTAGGGCATGTGGTTTGAGGTGAAGAACTGATTGGGCCTGGGTAATATTTATGACATAACACCTTTGTATTGGTGGACTCAAGAAGGGAGGGTCTTGAAGTGAATCTTGATAAGTAAACTACAGTTAGATAAGTAATCTGTTTGTCCAGGTGAGCAATCTATTGTCCTGATATTAGAGCAAAATATTTTCCCAGACAAGGTAGCTAGCAGGAATTTTATGAAAGCAAACAGCAAAGTTGTTTATTGATTTATAACATTATCTTCTTGGGCAAGAATTTCCTGGAACAAATAATTGTCACATTAATGCAGATGGCTTCAGTTCTCGCTAACAATTGCTAGACTCTATGGACAGAGGTGGTCCTCAATTTTTAAACCACAGGAGACTCAAAGAGGCCTTTCCTGGGATCTCTTTATTCTAATTTTTCATTCTAAATTCTTGGAGAACTTCTTTCAAGAAATATTTGTTTGAATATACAGTGAAAGATGGAAAATTCTAGGCACAGCTGCTGCTATTGTCTTCTATCCACTGCCCATGACAGACATTAATAATCAATCACAGCATCCCTTCTCACTCATCCTGAACTTGGCCTCATGATCATTTTTGAAGTAGCATTTAAGGCTACCATTTTCAGTTGATCAGAGTTGTCACACAAATGGCAACCTAAAGGGCTGTGGTAAACATTTGGGGACTGTGAAGGTGAAACAGGTGTACATTATGTTCTCAAGAAGTTTAGAGTTTAGAAATCACAGGGAGTACCAGGGGGACATTGCCAAGCATTTGTTAGAGCAAAACCAACATGAATGTGAGTAGTGGAAAATACAGCTAGAGAGTGGTGGCATTTGTAAGCTGCCTTTGAGGTGAGGCCAACGTATGTGATACTTACGTGATAGGAAATGGGGAATGTCTGGCTTGTGAAAAACTGGGAATGAAAGAATCATAACTGTTCTTCAAAAAGGTTAATAATCTGAAAGCAGATAAGAGATTCTGTAAATGTAGAGAACATGCAGGAATTTAGGAAAAATATTCTGTAGGAATAGATTAGGACAGGTATAGGTGGACTGGAAAGAAAGAGGTGGGTGGAAGAAACAATTACAGACATAGAATTGACAAGTTTTGACTTCAGTGGTTAGTTGTAAGGAATCAATCAGAGAAGAGGAAAGAATAAGTGACTTTAAAAAATACATTTAAAATTTTCAGCAACTGAAAGGAACAGTTTCAACCAAAATTTAATACTCATGAGGAGAAAGACATTTGTGAGGAATTTGACCATTTAGTGGATATCTCTTATTTCTGTCTGCTTAATTTGTTTTCCTTTGGGAAATTACTTCTCCACATGACTTTGGCAGAATATAAAACTTAAGA